TAGTGTACTATAAGGGATAAGTGTAGACCGTGTCTCAAGGTCATACTATTTATGTCTGAGAACGATTAGTAAGTACAGTATAGCTACTGCAGATATCAGATGAAAATATTCGAGAACAATGGTCTGGAAAAAGGATAAATGTATCAGACCTATGTGAAGTGTTGGAAGTGATCCAGAAACTACAGTATACTTCAGAGAATACCTTGTATACCTCAGTGTGAGCTTAATACACCTCGTTAACCCATGTGACGAGCAACCACGAACAGCGCAATGATCAGAGGATCTTATGAATGTGTTCAATGATTGCGACATGTGAAGGAAAGATCCCTAAAGACAGATTGAATTGAAGTGAAGTGGGTATACCCACGCCAAGAAAACACGAGGCTAGGCCTTTGTTCGGGTTGGCACCTAGGCTGCACTAGGCTACGGTGCTAGGTTATAACCCAATGAATTTCCCCAGGAACTAGCAAACCAGACCCTTACCTTTAGTATGTAATTTTGGATTAAGATATATAATTATAAGGCATAAGGTCACAATAGATAGGAAAGTGTATATGTGAGAACCAGAATAATGTCAAAGTGAAAATTTAAGATTGGAAATTGTAGGCCTAGTTCAGTGTGAGACACCAGGCATCGCCCTCAGTGACGCCCGCCTTCTCACCGAAACAGGTCAGTGAACTCCATCGTGCTTCCTCAGCACTCAAGAGACTTATATAGCAGTTTTTTTTACATCTTAACACCTTGCCTAATATTATAAAGTGAATAATAGTTGTAATAATGTGTGGTGATAAAAGCCCCTCAGGCATTATTCTCAGTGACGCCTGCCTTCTCACCGAAACAGGTGCGCGCCCAGAGCGAGGGCCTAACAACCACCACTGCTCCATTGTGAGGAACCCACCATGTGTGGTATGTTACTGCTTATGGCCATTATGCACCTCCACTGTGAATACCCTACATATCACCACCCAGGATAGGAGAACATGATAGTGTGTTTGAGAAGTTTCGCGGTCGCCACGTGGAGTGACCTAAGAATACCAGGCGTGGAATCAGTACTGGTTTGATTACCTGGGAAGTATCCCATCTACTTAGAAAGAGTAGTGTGTGAGCGAGGTACTTGGTATGTGTTCCTGAAGAATACCGAGGAGTTCCATACTTGTAGGTGTGGAGTGTACCCGAGATGTGGTGCTATAATCTAACATGTGGTGCAGTCTGATGTGTTGGGTGTTATGGTTAGAAGGAATGACCGAGGTAAGGAGGTCATTGGTTGTTTTGAAGTATGAAGATAATAATAGTAGTTATTTGATGAAGGACGTATACTGGTGTGAAGTGTAATGAACATAATAGTAGTTATTTTGATGAATGCCACTATATTTGTATTGTGAAGGGATGCAATATGTTTTCATAAGGAATAAATTAATTAAGTCATGCTTGATGTTTCACCCTTTTTCCCACTCTCGATGTGGTCAATGAAAAACCCAACCCAATGCTTGGCTTGCTCTGCCAGCTACCTAAACAAGCTACATACTGTCCAGGGGGATCTGGTGACAGCAACCTTAAAATTAAGAGTAATTTAAGTTAATCCCCTCAGGATTAGTGACCCCAGAATGGGCAGTACACTAGTACCTCCTACTTTATGGTTTTATTGAATTTCTCATACTGTACTTTAAAACATAATTTGATACCAAAATGAAGTACCTAGCTTAAATAGTTAATAAATTATTATTTCTCACTTTGGGTGGTGGCCATTTTTAATTTTGCCAAAAAATATGGTTCCACCTGGTTGATTTTTCTTTTACATATTTGGCATCCATATGATCTATATGAATGCAAAATATGGCTGTTATACTAAATTCCAGAGCTTTTGTCAATTTTAACTGGCCTAACAGTTCTACAACACCTACTACTCCGCTCTCTTATCAAGGAACGTGTCGGTAATAGTATACAGTGCATGACTTTCAAACCGGAATTTGTTCTCGGTAATGTCTCTGGCTTCCCTCAGTTCTCAACACCTGCAGCATTTACTAAACATATTGTATTTTGTGGGGTGTGGTCAGAGCTGACATTGTTTACATGGCGTTTGCCTCCTCCTAGGTGGAAGGTAGAGTGGGTGGGGGGTGTCCCGCTGTCCCCTGGTGCACTTGCCTCAACTACCTTCCCCTTGTACATAACCCATGCACGTCCGTCTCCATTCCTCATTGAATCTCCCCCTCTTCTGCTTTAATCACCACAGAAGTTTTTTGTTCTGTTCCCTCTGCATTACTGTGCAATCTGGGTTTATGAATATATCCCCAAATGTATCGCTCATTGTTAAGTTTTTTGCCTGCTGAATAACTTCCCATTTCTTATCCTCAATCACAAGTGTGATCCTGAGAAGCAGGGCTTGTTCTCCTGCCTTTGTCCCAGCCCCCTCACATCCTGAGGGAAGCTGACAGTTTCAGAGCCTCTGCACACGGCCTATTGCTCCAATCGAGTAGGGAGAATATATCAATATACAATTGTGAAAAACATTAAATATCCTAAATTGATTTACACATTCACATCATTAAGATGATCTTTGTTAATAGGAATGTATTTCAAATTAATACAATAGTAAGTAATAAAATCTCCTATTTTAAAATATCGGGTATTTTAAACTCCCTTTAGTTCAAATTAATTATTGGGCAATCAGTTTTCATGGATTTTCGGCTTTAGTGACACTGGTCTTCTCCAGTTGGTCTGTTATCCATAAGGTTTACCGTACTGTAAAGTATATGATACGACTTACTATGTTTATTATACCATTATTGAATTCTTCATTTTAAAATAGCTGAACTTTAGGTGCTTTTTTTTTTTTTTTGTGATGTAGCTAAAATACAGTACAGCATGCGCTGACAATTTGCGGCCCTCGATTATTCGCGGAAACTCCCTGGATGTACCCAAGAATTTGTACGGGTAGTTTTAAAGTTGCTGCTATTTTCACGGCCGGGACAGGGAGCCATTCATTCCAGAAAGTGTAGACACACACACACTACACGTAAAAGAAATTAATTCATTTATCTGTATTGTATATGTGTGTGTGTGTGTGTCTATACACACACACATATACAATACAGGTAAAAGAAATAATTGTCAAAAAGGGCAAACACAAAGGGAATATACATTTCTTTGCACATGAAAAGGCAGTCAGGCTAATGGCAACTAACCTACAGGATGGTACAGGTTGTACCTCTCTAGTCCAGCATTCTGTGGTCCGGAAACTCCCATGGCCCGGAACGATTTAGTTTGTTCAATAGGTAGATAGGCAGCTCTCTTTTTTTTTTTTTTTTTTTTTTTTTTTTTTTTTTTTTTTTTTTTTTTTTTTTTTTTTTTTTTTTTTTTTTTTTTTTTTTTTTTACTTATCTGAATTATTATTATTATTACAGGAGTATTAAATTTTTGCCCCTCAGGCCCCAATGTGGGTCAGTGACCTATGCCCGGGTGGGCTAATCCCCTTAAAAAACAAAGCCGCGGGAAATTAAGGTTTGTTTACATCCGGCAGTTCGGCTGCTCTCTCTCTCTCTCTCTGCTTGTCTATACAGAGTACAACATTTAACCCTTCAATATATATGAGCAGTAAATAAGTGTTGCTTTCATATTCTTATGTAGAGTAATGACGATATGTTTTCACATGTGCGCACTTACATACACGCAGTCTCACTTTTTTTTTTTACCATTAATGGTTAGCTACTTATATAGTTCCATTTATTAACATTAAATAACGTTACAGGTACTTCAAACAACCATATTAATGTTTTTACATTAATTTTACTACAGCTACAATCAGGGTCATATTTTCTTCAGTTTTATATGTAGAACCAATCAGTCACTGGTTTTGTAAGCTATAACATAAACAATGCCGGCAGCCGTCACGTCTCATCGTGTGTTCTAATGTTCCACGTATTATTAATAAATTGTATTGTTAATTTTGCACACACAAACATTAATTCTATAAAAACAAAGTCAGAAACATTAATTAAAATATATATGAACAGTAAATAAGTGTTGCTTTCATATTCTTATGTAGAGTAATGACGATATGTTTTCACGTGTACGCACTTACATACGCGATCTCTCTTTTTTCTTTACCATTATCCTTAGCTACGTCTATTGTTCCATTTATTAACATTAAATAACATTACTTAAAACAACCATATTAATTTTACTACAGCTACAACCAAGGTCTTATTTTCTTCAGTTTTATATGTAGAACCAGTCAGTCACTGGTTTTGTAATCAACGAAAACAATGCTGTCTCATTTCCTCGTGTGTTTTTAATATTCTACGTATTATTAATGAATTGTATTGCTCATTTTGCACACAAACATTAATTCAATAAAAAAGACATTCAGTAATAGACAATGATGAATCTTTGGTACATCAGAGAAATGACGCTGTTTAAACGATTATGCACGTCGTGTGCACGTTGGAGGGCCGTTCAAACCAGTCGAAATTCAAGTTTCCGCCGTCAAAATTTGTATTTATTTATTTTTTGTGTGTGTTCCAATAAAATACGTTGAATTAAAAACTCGCGAAATTTGAGAAGCTACTATACGACATTTAACCCTTCAATATGTCTTCAAAGAGACCATGATGCAGAGAAAGTTGTGCTAGTGCTTCCAAGCATAAGCACAAGTCACTATCTATCCAGGAAAAAGGGTGAATTTCCATGGTCCGGCAATTTCTATGGTCTGGCACCGGTCAGGTCCCGAGGTTGCCAGACTAGAGAGGTACAACCTGTAGTGAGGTGATCCCACATCCCGTGAGTCTGAACAATGAAGATTAGTTTGCACATGTGCCTTCTGACATCCCTGACTCATTTGGTTCCAGCCTTTTCAGTATCTTGGGTTGTTACAGGGGAGATGGTTAGTCTCTGGATTAAACCCAGGCACCAAATTCAAAAGCACATTCTACACAAGCATAGATTAGAAAAATTTAAGTAAATAAATCTATACAATATACCACTTTTGGGTATACCCAACTCACTGTTTTGCCACATCCAGTTTCTGCGCAAGCCATTATGTCTCGGCCCTTTAGAATGATTGGTATCGAGTATTTCTGGACTGGAGTTGGAAGTTTGTAGTTAGCACGAATGATGTTTTCCTTCAAAATTTCCCGGAGACCCATATCAGCAAATTCTGAAGCTGGCTGAGGTATTGGATCATCACCAGTCACCTGAAAAGTTAAAACAAAAACTCATTAAATATATATAAACAAATTCCAAGTAGTCATATCTATGGTGTCTAGTTTATACTTATAGTGCTAACAAAGTATTTATTCAAGAATAATTTTTAAATCAAGTAAGAAATATAACATCAGCATTTACAAATGTCATGCACTACTCCACTTCCACAGATGATCAAAGTTATAGGCTATTCTTAAAACAAATGCCCATAAATAAAAATAATAAAATTAAAGCATAACTACATAGAAATTCATATTTGTCCAAACTAGTTTTAGAGGACACATGAGTTGTCTGAAGATAACGAAATCGCCTGCTGATACAGTTCTGATAGTTCTTAAACTATAAGCAACGGAATATGCGAGGTAAACTAAAGGCATTCCCTGATTTACAAAGATCAGGAGCTAAAAAAAATAAATATGCAACAAAAATATTTGTAAAATTTTTTTGGTGTACATGGGGTGCCACCTCCTGGGTAGGGGGAAGAGCGGGTGGAGGATGCGCTGCTGCCCCCTGGCACTGTGTCGACACAATTGCTTCCCCTACCCTCCCCCTGAATATAACCCATGTACAGTTGTACACCCGTCCCCGTTCCTCCTTGACTCCTCCCTCTTCTGCTTCAAGTCCTGCAGGAGCTTCTTGTGCTGTTCCCTCTGAATTACCATGTGATCTGGGTGAAAGAATACACTCCGAGATGCCTCGCTCCTCGTTAAGTTTTTTGACTGCCGAATAACCTCCCAGTTCTCCTCCTCACTCACTCGTGTGATCCTGAGGGGGCGAGGTTTATCCCCCTGCTTTTGCCCCAGCCTCTTCACATCTGTGGGGTTAATTGAATCTTCAGAACCTCTGTACAAATATTTTGAAACTGCATCTTATCGTGTTACCTTACTCACAGTTCACTCCGCCTGGCTCTCTGGGACTCCAAATCTATCACATTGTTCCTTCGCTGGAAACCTTCCTGTTGTTCCTCCTCTCCCCTAACAGTAGGTCCGCTAATTTTAATTTCTTCGACACACTTCTTCAGAGTCCCAAGCTGCTGTAGATCCTGTTCTGATCCTGCATTACTCTCCGCCACCTCCCATGGCCCTGCTAATATGTCAGCAAACTCCTCTTAGCAACCACCTCCATTCTATCGGCTACTTCCTCAGTCTTAGCAAGGATCTCTTTCCCAAGTTGCTCTAGTTTGGCAACCAGCAGGGCTCCAGCTTCATCTATTTTCGTCCGTAGGGAACTCGTTCGCTTATGGCCTGCACTCGCCTCATTCACCTTGACTATGCAGTCAGGGCAACTCCAGCAACAGCCTTCATGCTTTACGGCAGTTTGCAACATCCTAAACGCTGTAAGGGAGGCCTATATCCTCCATATCCGATGTCTCCCTACAGTAATCACATATCATACTCATGGTTGTTGTTGTTGTTGTTGTTGTTGTTGGGGGGGGGGGGTACCGATTGTGTATAGATCTGCACCTAATAATTCACAGGAACTAGTGGCAACTGATAGTGGGGAAGAATAACCACAAATTAGCCAAATAGAGTTAACACTTACCGACTCTTTAGCTAGCTGTGAAAATTTCATTGATTCAGTTTGAGGATTTGCACAGTAGACATTTAAGGTCAGGTAACATTTACCCATTGCCTTCACCTGTTACTAACGCTAGTGCTTTAACTAACACAACAAAAATGGCTACATGTCGGTCATAGGGTAAGGCTACTTCTAAATAACATTAGGTACAAGAGTTTACTGCCAAGGATCCTGATTATACTAGTTTAGCATTTTTGCGAAGATGTACAGTGGTCCCTCGGTTAACGAACTCCTCAGTTAACGAATTACCTTCCATAAGAATCTTCAATTCGGTTAACGAAAAAGTTTGATTAAGGAAATCCTTAAGAAAATCTATTTTTGTTTTGAACATCAGCTGATAAGCTGAGGAGGTACTCGGCCAATTCAGTAATCTCTTCTATGCTTACAATCATTTCCATTGGAGTAAATATCAAGAAAATTGTGCTCTTTACTATTTGTGCATTTTTTTATACAGTATTAAAATTATTGGTCATTCTAAAATTTAGCCATCCAAGCTCTGTCTACATAAAGTTTTTCAACTATTATTTTTGGCTCGATATACTGTATGTAACTTTACATTGAACCCTTGCTTTACGCGGTTTCACTTTACGCATTTCTACATTTACGCGGTACCCTGCCAGAACCGGAATTCCCACTTTACGCGGTGCATCTACTCATATACGCGAGTGAAGTATAATTTTTTTTATTTAGCTCATAAAATTCATACAAATTACCCGGCCAGAATATAATTTATATTGCTGGAATTCTTACAATTTGATGATCATTTTGAATATAAGCATCATAGATTTTGCATTAGACATACAAATTTTAGATCAATGCAAGTATTTTGTTTACTCAGAGCAAAAATGTTATCTTTTGTGCAAATTATATGACGTGTATATTCAAAATATTCCTGGTCTTGCAAGGAATCCAGCAATGTCAATTATATTATCCTAACTTTAGTCTGAGGTATTATTTATTACTAAAAATGTAAATATACTGTTATAACCCAAACATTTCTCTGGTAGGGAGGGAAGATGGGGGTGAGGGGTAGGGAGGGAAGGTGGGGGTGAGGGGGAGGGAAGGTAGGGGTGAGGGGGAGGGAAGGTGGGGGTGAGGGGTAGGGAGGGAGGGAGGGACCCGGGGAGCAGGTGGGAAGAGGGGGGGAGGTAGGGTATTTTGATTGACAGCAAGTGTTTGGGTAATTCTATTTTGTTTATTTATTGAAGATATTTGTTTTAGCTCATAAAATTTATACAAATTACCCGGCCAGAATATAATTTACATTGCTGGAATTCTTACAAGTTGATGATCATTTTGAATATAAACATCATAGATTTTGCATTACATACAAATTTTAGATCTAATGTAATTATTTTGTTTACTCTGAGTAAATATGTTATCTTTTGTGCAAAATATATGACATTTATATTCAACATATTCCTGGTTTGACAAGGAATCCAGCAATGCCAATTATATTATCCTAACTTTAGTTTGACGTATTATTTATTACTAAACCTTAATATCTAGTGTTTTCCCCCAAACATTTCTCAGAGAGGGAAGAGCCAGGGAGTGTGAGAAGAGAGGGAGGGAGTTGAGTCCATTATTTGAATGGACATTAACTTGGCGACTGTATTTCTCTATTTCTCTTAAAAATTAATTGTGTGCGTGTACCATCATAAAATTAAGATGTTATTTTTACTAGAACAGGTATTGTGTAGGAAAAAGTGGAGTTTGGGGGTCAGCCGGTCTCTATTTCATTTAATCCCATATGTTATGTTGTTCACTTTACGCGTTTCTCGCTTTACGCGGGCCTCGTGGGTTCAATTGACCGCGTAAAGTGAGGGTTCACTGTATTCATTTATTGAAACTCATTTACATGCACACACTGTCCTAAGGGCAAAGCTGAACTGTACATGTAATCAGAATAATGTACAAAATGATTACTAAAATTTTTGTCTAGTGCAAACTATGGCATGTATACATTCAAATTAATCACGATCTTAAAAGAATTCCAGCAATGCAAATAAAATTCTCCCAGGTCACTTCTATTAACTTTTATAAGCAAAAAACAAAAACTCAATCTAAAAAACATAAATTAACAATTAAATACTTCACACCACAGGTGCCAACTGTCAAACATGTCACTGTCACCCACCCCTCCCTCCCTACCCCCCACCTTCCCAAGAAAGGTTTGGGGGTTTTCAGAAGGCTTTAAGTTTTACCGTATTTTTCTCGGCTTGGAAGACACTGCACCGTGGAAGACGCACCCTGATTTTGAAAATGAAATTCTAAAAAAAAAAAAAATCCGGGTTTTAGCCCACCTGGGCACAGGTCACTGACCCACATTGGGGCCTCGGGGGCAAAAATGTAGTAGTAGTAGTAGTAGTATTAGGATATTTAATATTAAGGTAAATAAATGGTGGCGAAGGTGTGGCTATTGGGGGAGGCTGGAGGCCACGTGTTGAATTTAAAAAAAAAAAAAAAAAAAGTAGTAGTAGTAATAATAATAATAATAATAATAATAATAATAATAATAATAATAATAATAATAATAATAATAATAATAATAATAATAATAATAATAATATTAATAATAATAATAATAAATACAAAAATGAAAAAAATATCAAGAGTGAGAAACAATATACCTGTATGTATGTTGTGTTGTCAAAGTAAGAGAAACAATTGAGACCCTGCAGAAAGTCAGATCATCAACCTGGGACTTGGTCACATATAGCAGCAGGGTCTCATTATGCTTCCAATATCTTCCCAGACGGTAGTACCTCCTTGTTTGGTACATTAGCTGCCTACTACCTACACCAGTGACACCGTTGCTTGATATACAGCCCTTTTGGCACAAGTACACACACCTCTTTGAATATCATCACTTAGAACTGCTTATCAGTTGTCATTTTCATCAACTTAAAAAAAAATCTGTATAAAAAGGTGAAATCTTTAATACAGCACTCATTTTATACACCTGGTCACCTCCACGTCTAGCAAGCTGTAGTGTTTACATTCTTCCTCGTGTTTTTGTAGGCATGACAATGACGGGAAATATTTTCCAACAGTAGGTAAGCAAATGTAAACATGTATATAAACATCTAAATAAAACAAAAAATCTTTATTTAAAAACAAAAAATTACAAGTAAAAAACAACTTGGTAAAAATAAGTCGAATTAAAATTTTTGGTAAGCAAACACTAAAAATAAAAATAAAATGTAAATCTCAAAATATCATGTCCAGTAAAACAGTCAAAAGCATTTTTATTCATCTTCAAATCCTGAGAAGTCGTCACTGTTGGATTCATCACCAAGCTCTGAATCATCACGAGAGGAAATATCATCATCATCATCACTACTGTCAGTCTCGTACAACAAGTTGTCTTCAGTGCCATCCATAGCATTACTGATACCACATTTTTTGAAAGACTTAACGATAACTTTAGTTTTAATATCACACCATGACTTCAGCACCCATTCACACACTTCAGGTATTGATGGACGTTTCATCCTTACAGTCGGCGTCATATCATGATTCCCCTCTGTCATCCATTTATTCCATTGCTCCCTCATGTTATTCTTAAAGGGCTTAATAAAGCCGACATCTAGCGGCTGTAACTGGGAAGTCAGGCCACCAGGAATTACTGCCAGCTGTATGTTGAGCCCCTTTGCTAGCCTTTTGGTGTTTTCAGTCCTGTGAGCACTAAACTGATCCCATACTAGCAGGCCACCAGGACGCTTGGACCACACTTTATCCAACCATACCTTGACACCTTCTCCATCCATCCATCCTTTGGGTTGTACAATGACATGAATTCCATTTGGCAGTTTTTCCTTCGGTAATGTTTTTCTCTTGAAAATTAACAGAGGCGGTAGTTTGGTCCCGTCGGCACAGCAAGCTAAAACTACCGTGTAGCGAGTCTTTTCGTGTCCAGTGGTTTTAACAATCACCGATTTCATCCCTTTTACATTTACACTTTTATTAGATGGCACATCAAAAGTCAAAGGTACTTCGTCCATATTCCCAATTTGACTGAGTTCGGGACAACTCTGTTTTCTTACGTTAATAATAAATTTATGGAACCTAATATTTCCTCTTCATATTCTGCAGGCATTTTCTGAGCTAACTTTGTTCTTGTTCGCAAACTTAAGCCATTTCGTTTCATGAAGCGAAAACACCAACAAGCAGTTCCTTTGAAATCATTCCCCCGTGTTTGCTGCAAACCTTCGTGCTTCCAAAATTATCATCTTCGTCGTCACTGCCAAACCCAAGTTTCTTTGGTCTAATATCCATGTTTTCAAGTTTTCTTCTAAGTCTGGCCATTTTGATGGCACTGTACGAAGATTATGCTTCTGTTTATTGGCTTTTTTTAATTCTTCCTCCTGCTTCCTCCACTGGCGAATCATCTTCTCAGTAGGTGGTGGTCCAAAGTTTCTCTCTGTTGCCCTGTTTCCATGGTTCTTTGGCATATCGCACTACTTCAAGTTTAAATGCGATAGTATATTTATGTCTCCTTGATACACCTGCCATAGATGAGGGAGATAATTTGCAGGAATGAAAATAGCTTGTGACAAGTGAAGGCCTGGTAATGAATGAATAAAGTTCTAGACATTCAAGCACAGTACCGGTACGTTCTCAAATTTCGTGAGTTTTTAATTCAACGTTTTTTATTTGGACGCACAAAAAAAAAACACTACATAATTTCAAACTTTGACGGCAGAAACTCAAATTTCGAAGGGTTTGAGCGTGCAAAATGAACAATACAATTCATTAATAATACATAGAATATTAAAACACACGAGGACACGAGACAGCATTGTTTTCGTAAAGCCCGCGTTAAGTGAAAGTTAGGCTCTGGCGAGGCACCGCGTATACGGTAAAACGTGCTAAGCGAAACCGCGTTAATACTGTATAAATATTATAACTAACTAACACACACACACACACACACCCCCCCAAAATGATTGAGATTGAGCAATTGTGTGAAAATGAAGCAGAAAGTCAGCCAGACCAGCAACCTTGGTCAGAATTTTGTGATGCCAAATGGTAGCCGAGTCAAACATTGGGTGACACATTATGTTTACAATATCTTTCCAGGAGGTAGTACCTCCCTGTTTGATAGCTGTGTCTTATAGGCTGGCAAATATGATACAGTATGTGTATTTCAAATTTATTGAAAATTAAACAATCTAAAACAATAGGATAAAGGGCAATTCACTCATTGGTAGCCTCAGAGTTTCACTAATACTATACCAATTTCCATATTAGCAACTGTTTGTTGTAGGTCATTTTGAATGGTTACAATCTCCTGGTGATGTGTCCATTTACATTATTGATGGAGAGGATTATTTTGGATACACTTTCTCTTAAATAGGCTACCAGTAATTGAATTACCCTGCTCTGTAATTGACATGAATACATATCTAAATCTCACCTGGACTGTCATGCTACTGTATCTTTCAAAGTTTTGACCAACTTGTATGCCTGTGTCAAATAGTTTGTCATCCTCAAGGTCGTCTGGCATATACAGAGGAACTCCTCGTCTCTCATCTGGAATTTTTTCCTTTTGTGGTTCAGGTCCACCTTCATTACCTCTGTTAAAACCTGAATCAAATAATACAGTAACTGTTTAAGTTAAGTTGAAGAATATATATATATATATATATATATATATATATATATATATATATATATATATATATATATATATATATATATATATATATATATATATATATATATATATATATATATATATATATATATATATATATATATATATATATATATATATATATATATATATATTTACCCCCATAAAAAATATATATTACAAACTACTACTTGCACTACAACACAATTAAACAACACTCATCACCTCATTAAGAAGTCTAGTCATCATAACAAGTCCCTTCTATAAGCAAACTCTTAACTTTTTTGGGTTTGAGTAGGCGCTCGCCTGCGAGACGCTTGGGGTCTGGCCTGTTACTCACCTCACCACACTTGACTACTGAGATAATTGTATATGAATATAGCAGACATATTTGATATAAAAGTGGGATTTGTTGCATTAGCATTTATCACTGAGCATAACAATAAATAATTATTTCTATAAAGTCTGAATAAGAAAGCAACATTCTTGCACTTCATGAAAATGTTTATACATAGTAATAACCTTAACCGGAATCCCCCAAACCCGGAATTGAAATTTGCTCGGAAAAACATTCCCAAAGCCGGAATATTCCCCAAATTTCTGACCTTTGGTACAAATTTTCCGAGTTTGAAAATGAAAATTACAAATGTCTTGAATAAAGATGAAAATTAATGAAATTTTTTTTTGGGGAGGTGACCTGAGCCTACTTGACTGTCAGGTGGAGGTAGGGTGGGGGTTCAATCTCATCTCACCTTCTCATGGAATACAAGGTCACTCTGTCTTGGGTGTGGGATTAGTGGGTCTTATGACCGGAAGATGTCTTGAATAAACACGAAACCTAAAGTATTTCTAGGGAGATTGTGATAAATATAAGTGTAAATGAGCAAAGTTATATCCCTTCAACATTACATAACATAACATTTTTAATGGAAAGGTGTGGGTGATAAGAGATGGAGTGGAAAGGAGAAGCTCTCTCTCTCTCTCTCTCTCTCTCTCTCTCTCTCTCTCTCTCTCTCTCTCTCTCTCTCTCTCTCTCTCTCTCTCTCTCTCTCTCTCTCTCTCTCTCTCTCTCTCTCTCTCTCTCTCTCTCTCTCTCTCTCTCTCTCTCTCTCTCTCTCTCTCTCTCTCTCTCTCTCTCTCTCTCTCTCTCTCTCTCTCTCTCTCTCTCTCTCTCTCTCTCTCTCTCTCTCTCTCTCTCTCTCTCTCTCTCTCTCTCTCTCTCTCTCTCTCTCCTCTCTCTCTCTCTCTCTCTCTCTCTCTCTCTCTCTCTCTCTCTCTCTCTCTCTCTCTCTCTCTCTCTCTCTCTCTCTCTCTCTCTCTCTCTCTCTCTCTCTCTCTCTCTCTCTCTCTCTCTCTCTCTCTTCTCTCTGTGTGTGTGTGTGTGTGTGTGTGTGTGTGTGATAAGGGATGTTTATACTCAAATTAATCGCTATCTTACAAGAATTAATCAAATTAATCGCTATCTTACAAGTTATATTCTCGAAAGTCAAGTCAGCGACATTTTATAAGCATTAAATCTGTCAGTTTGTTGTGTGTGTGTGGGGGAGGGGGGGGAGTAAAAGTGACCACGCCACCCCTCTACCCCAAAGGGTTGCCTCACTGTTTGACTAAACTACTGACTCATTCAAGGCACAGTAATGTTTATTCGTTTTTCATTAATTAGTACAGATACATTACTGTAATAATCTGTGCTTATTAATACATGTACCCTTCATATACAATAATACAGTATAGTACAGGGGTGGGCAAAGTGCAGCCCGCGGTCCACATTTGGCCCGCCAAATTATTTCTGTGGCCCGCCACTGTATTTGGCAATCAGAAAAAAAGAAATTCTTATTAATTACAGAAAGGACAATTTTGGAAGTTGGGTGGACATAGCAGCAATACTGGCTCATCGCTGTTAACCTGTGGCCCGCGAAGTGTGCCACCATTCATGAAGTGGCCCTCCATCAAAAATAATTGCCAACCCCTGGTATAGTACTACCGTAATTTGTGGCGTATAGTCAAAATTTAAGCTTGAAAAAATCTCTCCAAAACCATATACGTCATCCGCCCAGATATGTATGATACAGGCCTGACCAATGCAACGTTTAGGAAAATGCAAACTGCCGTAAAGCATGAATGATGTTGCTGGTATTGCCCTGACTGCAAAGTCAAGGTGAATAAGGCAATTGCAAGCCATAGGGGAACGAGTTCCATACGGACGAAAATAGATGATGCTGGAGCCTTGCTGGTTGCCAAACTAGAGCAAGTTGGGAAAGAGATCCTTGCTAAGACTGAGGACGTAGCCGATAGAATGGAGGTGGTTGCCAAGAGGAGTTATGCTGAGGCAGTAGCAGGGCCACGGGAGGTGGCGGGGAGTAATGCAGGAGCAGAACAGGTTCTACAGCAGCTAGGGACTCTGAAGAAGTGTGTCGAAGAAATGAAAATTAACGGACCTACTGTTAGGGGTGAGGACAAACAACGGGATAGTTTCCAGCGCAGGAACAATGTAATAGATTTTGGGAGTCCCGGAGAGCCAGGCGGAGGGAACTGAGAGTAAGGTAACACACGATAAGATGCAGTTTAAGAATATTTGTACAAAGGTTCTGAAGATGCCATCAACCCCACAGGATCACACTAGCGAGCGGGCAAGAGAAATGGGAGGTTATTAGGCAGGCAAAAAACTTAGCAAGGAGCGAGGCATCTCGGAGTGTATTCATTCACCCAGATCGCATGGTAATGCAGAGGGAACAACACAAGAAGCTCCTGCAGGACTTGAAGCAAAAGACGGAGTACCGGTAGTCAAGAAGGAACGGGGACAGGTGTACATGGGTTATATTCAGGGGGAGGGTAGTGAAAGCAAGTGTGCCGACACAGGGCCAGGGGGGCAGCAGCGCACCCTCCACCCGCTCTATTCCCCACCCGGGAGGTGGCACCAGCTCTGCCTACCTAACGAGAGGAGGCGAGCACTGTGTAAACAATGACATATCTAACCACACTCTGCAAAATACAGTGTAATTAGGAAGTGCTGCAGTTTCTGAGAATGGGGGGTTTACTACTAAAAGCAGTGACGTTAACGAGAACAAATTCTGGCTTGAATGTCATGCACAATAAGACTGACACGTTCCTTGAATAGGAATGTGATAACTGCCAATGAGAACAACTTTCGTATCGAATTTGTGTGGATTCCGTCCCATGTTGGAATAGGTATCATGACCGTGCTGATAAGACTGGCCAATGAGACATGTAAGAAAGAAAATGTTGACCGTGACTTTGGCCTGTCCAATGCTGTAATTAAAAACATTCAAGTCAGAATCATGAACTCTGATCTAGAAGAAGTAAGAAATGCAGAGAGACCTAACAGTTGTAGCATTAGTAAATTTGACAATTTTGTGACAAGAGGTACCGGTATAGCCAGCATAAGGACAGAACCAGACAATGTGATGTAGACATAGCCAGAATTAGGCTAGGATACAGACACATCTGGCAAGTTAGTAACACTGTACCCATAATGGAACACTCAGCATGTAAACTTTGTGATAAACCTTTAAAGCATACACTTGAACACTATATTATTGCATGTGACACTGTCAAAGACTTCAGGCCACCTGACTTATTGTATCTTGAACTATGTAATTACTTCATTGAATCAGGTGTGCTTGAGGACATTCTTGCTGTTTATCCCAAATTTGCTAGCCCACACTGATTAGTCTTCAATTAGAATATGACTCCAATGTATGTGATCCACTGACCTATATATACTGCTAATGACTATGATGTATTTCCTTCTTTGTGTACGAACCTCTGTCCTGCATGGCAGTGAACAGTGGCATTACCCACATGAATCTGACCTATATATAGTGTCAATGAATATGATGCATTCTTTGTGTACGAACCTCTGTCCTGTATGGCAGTGAAGAGTGACATTACCCACATGAATCTGACCGACGTATATGTATGTGTGTGTATGTATGTGTGTATGTGTGCATATGTGTATATATATGTTCATGTATATGTGTATGTACATGTATATGTGTATATGTGTGTGTGTGTGTGTGTGTACATATATGTATATGTACTGTCAATGAATATGATGCATCTCTTAGTGTACAAACCTCTGTCCTGCATGGCAGTGAACAGTGACATTACCCATATGAATCTGACCTCTATACATTTATAGCTGTTAATGAATATGATGTATTTCTTTGTGTATGAACCTCTGTCCTGCGTGGCAGTGAGAAGTGATACCACCCTCAGTGTCAAGACCTGACTGAATTACTCAGAATAGCCAAACTGTACTACAAGCTCTGCGAATAAATTTGTTAAACTAAAAAAAATTTGAATAAGAGAGAGGAGTTTGAAACACTACTGAAGGTACACCAACCAGATATTGTAGGCGTTGTAGAACTGTTGTCCAAGTGCAGGAGAATCGACCCAGAGGAATGTAAGTTCAGTATTGCTGGATATGACTCATTTACGAACCTTTCTTAAGAAACTTGCAAGAGGGGTGTGGTTATCTACAGTATGCTAGGCAAGATCTTGAGGCCAGCCAGGTGAGGGTACAGGGAGAGGATGTTTTTGAAGAGTCCAAGTGGTATAAAATTAAATTAAAGGGAGGGGACTTACTTATCGTCGGGTGTAGCCACAGATCCCTAAATTGTGGCCCACTAAATCAAAGGAACTTACGAGCCTTAATGGACAATGCACCAATGCTCAACCCTAGCCACCTCCTTATCATGGGGGACTTTAACTATGGCAACATCAAATGGATAAACGAGCTCACTCCAAAGGACTTGAATAACCCTGCTACTCTTTTTGTAGAAACTCTGAGAGATAATTTTCTGTTCCAACATGTTAGCAACCCAACACATTGCAGAGGGGAGCAAACACCCAAGCCATTAGACCTCATCATAACAAACGAGGAGGGTATGGTGGCCAAACTGGAACACCTTGCCCCAGTTGGCACCAGTCACCGTATAGTGTTGTCATTCAGATTTAACTGTTACCCAGTTCAGGATAAGGCCAGGCCAAGGTGCAAATATTACAAGGGAAATTACAAAGGGGATGAGGGAAGAGATGAGGCGTATCAAGTAGCCTGACTCATTAAAGCACAAGAATGCAGACACTCCGCTGAATATCATAACTAGTAAAGTGACCCATTTGATCAATAAATACATACCCAAGACCAAACCCAGTGCCTCTAGGAATACTTAAGGGGATCACTACACATAAACCACGCAGTGGTCGACAAAGTTAAGAAGAAAACACAGAAATTCAAGACGTGGGTTGGGTCAGACGATGAGCATGACAGGAGAATGTATGCAAGAGCCAGAAACCAAGCAAAGATAGAGTGTAGAAGGGCTGAAAAGGAGTTCCAGAGGCTGGTTGCAAGCGAGGTCAAGTCAAACCCAAAGGCGTTTTACCGCTATGCAAAGTCAAAATTAAAAACGCGAGTAGGAGTATCAGACCTGAGGCTTGAAGATGGTAGTTATGCAGATTATGACCAGGATAAAGCTGAGGCATTGAACAGCTTCTTTTCCTCGGTGTTCACAATTGAGGATGTGATTAACCTTCCTGCATTTGAGGACAGACGGTTCGACACAGCACTGACCCACATTGTGTTCACAGAAGAGGGTATTAGAAATAAACTGTCAAAGCTAAAGGTCCATAAAAGTCCCGGCCCTGACATGGTGCCGAGCCCCTGAAGATCATGTTTTGTAAATGCCTGGATGACCAAGAGGTCCCCAGTGAATGGAAAGTGGCTTATGTGAGTCCTATATTAAAGAAGGGCGATTGTCACTCCATGAACAACTATAAACCGGTGAGCCTGACCAGCATAATATGTTAAGTACTTGAGAGTATTATCAGAGATGCCACGATGGAACATCTACTACGAAACAACCTTGTAAAGGATTACCAACACGGTTTTATGCCGGGGTGCCCCTGCTTAACACAATTGCTCAAGGTATTGGATATGTGGACCCATATTCTGGAACGGGGTGGTAATATCGACAATATTTACCTAGATTTTGCCAAGACTTTCGACAGTGGACCCCACGAAAGGCTGAAAATTAAACTGGAAGGGTACGGAATTCGGGGAATGTCCTAGCGTGGATAGAAGACTTTCTACATGACCGCAAGCAGTGTGTGGTGATTAATGGCACGAAATCATCATCCGTACCTGTCACAAGTGGGGTACCACAGGGCAGTGTATTGGGCCAGCTGTTGTATGTTTGTTTCATAAGTGACATGCCTGACGTTGTACACTCCTCCATACAAATATTTGCCGATGACACCAAATTATTTCGGGAAACAAAAAACCAAGACGACTGTGAAGAGCTGCAGAAGGACCTCTGTGGGCTCCAAGAATGGTCAAAGAAATGGCTGCTGAAATTCAATGTCACAAAGTGTAAGAGGATGCACCTGGGGCGTACCAATGGTAAGGAGGCATATCATATGTCCCAAAGGGATGAAGAAACTGCACTATTTGCGACTGTATGAAGGACCTAGGTGTGTATATTGACAGAGAGCTGAAGTTCTTGGGCCATTGCAGGAAGAAGGTAAATCAGGCAAATAAATTATTGGGTCTTATAAGAAGGTCGTTCAGATATCTAGACGGTCCGTCCCTCGTAACGATCTTCAAGAGTGAAGTGCTTCCCCATATGGAGTACTGTCACCCCGTCTGGTCCCCGAGATATGCTAGGGACTGTCAGTTGGTTTAAAATGTTCAAAGGAGGGCCACCAGACTGGTGCCTGCAATTCGGCACCTCAGCTACCCTGGGAAATTGGAGCGCCTGAACTTGCCAAGCTTATACTACAGCCGGGCAAGGGGTGACCTAATTGAGGTGCATAAGCATCTCAAGGGGCTCTACTCTGTCAAGTGTCCTTACTTGGAGCTGGTGGACGCTCGCCCCACAAGGGGTCACAGCTCAAGATTGAAGAAGCCGCAAGTCCAAAAAACTGTGAGGGCAAACTTTTTCGGAGTGAGAGTTGTGAACTCTTGGAACACTCTACCAGAAAGTGTTGTGACAGCACCGAGTGTGAGCTCTTTCAAGACAGGACTTGACTAACACTGGAGGAGGTTCAGGTGCATTCAGGAGCCGGTGCCTGCCCAGTAGTTGCCAACAGTGCGTAACAGACGTGACCGATCGCCCAAGCAGCTAATGAGCCGATCATTTGATGAAGAGGATAAAAGAAAAGGAAAAGTAATCAGAGACGTGACCGATCGCCCAAGCGGCTAACGAGCCGATCAATGGTGAAGAGGATAAAAGTAAAAATTAGACGGTCACATTTTTTTAAAATTTGTGTCCGATTATTTGTGAGAGGATTTTCCACTTATTATGTGTGTGTGTGTGTGTGTGTGTGTGTGTGTGTGTGTGTGTGTGTGTATACATACACACACATATACAATACTACAAGTAAAACAAATAATTGCCCTAAGGGCAAACACATAAAGGGAATATACATTTCTTTGTGCACAAGTAAAAATGTCTTAATTTGTAATTACCTGTATTTGAAACATATCACTAACAAACACTTTCTACTTTTAAATTCATTTTGTACACTAACCTGTCTGTCTTCGATCTCCAGTTTCACCATTAACTTTGTTGCAAAAGCGGGACATGTGTCCTTCCTCACCACACTGAGGGAAAAACAAGAAGTATTCGATCAATCAAAGTAACATCTTAAGATGAGGTTCAAGATCACAACCAATTGTTCCAAGTAATACTTAAAAAGAAAAAAAATGTCAATTACGATACATCACAACTTATAGTCCTACAAAACATTTTAACCAAATAGTACAGTAATCAAAGATGTAATTGGGCTTTGGAAAAAAAAAAAAAAAGAGCTGGAGGGTCCAGGGAAACACCTACCCGAGGAGTTTTTACCGCATTTAACTTAATTTATCACGTTGTTTATCATTTCGTGCATGCCTAATAGTTTAAATACACAGTACCCAAAACCAAACATGCATGTTTATTGCAACAATATTTTTCATGCATACAGTCTTAATAATTCCTTTACAAATTTTAGTTGTAAATAAAGTTGAATTTATTTAACATTTTTTAAGTGTGCACCATTATTGAGAGAAGATAAACTTGTAGTGGAGTCCTCCCCTACAAACGCCATGTGTCGCTGACTGGCCGACCCCCCGCGAATCTACCGGCGTATCCCTCGTGGTCAAGGTCAGGTAACCAGCGACGCCGAACAAAGCGAGGGCCTTCCATCAAGCCACGTCTACCGCGGTTATATAAGACCTCACCTGGCCTTCATCGCTCTCTTTCTTCTTACTGCCACCAACAAGCAACATCCCTCAACAGCTCCATACACATGCTCCCTCAGAAAGCTCCTCGCCCTACAGGAACTCTGAGCAAGCTTCGCCCGACTTAGTATCTCTTTAACACTGTGCTGTGCAACAATATATATACGAGAAACACTGTGATTTTCTATTTCTACCTCAATCCTGAGTGTTGGATATATTTCATGTACGTACGTTGTGAGGCCAAACAAGAGACCCTGACAACCTGCCACGACAGTACGCTACAAACTAAAGGGTAAGCTTTTTTGCACTGTACTGTACTTGTACTGACCATGGTCGTACATGTCCCAGTAAATACTACTTCTTACATTGTCACTATGTTGAAATGCCCTGTAGTTTGAGTTTTCCCCATCTAGTTATTATATATCTTATTTATATCACTTATGTTATTGGTATATTATTTGTAATTCGAAATCCATTCCCCAAATATGTAACTGTATATTTTCAGCCTTCTGGCTGCCAAGATCTTTCAATAAACCGTTAATTATTATTATTATTAATTATTATTATTATTATTATTATTATGAGTCGATTAGTAAATGAGTCAATTCATATTACGCTCAATAGCCCATAAAACATGTACAGTAGCTGTAACTTCTTTATTGAGTCCCCCATCTAAGGTGCCCGTTTTCTCACCGCTTCAGTACGTCTGAGTCCTCCATTTTCTCTTGAGTATTCCTTAGTATCTTATGTCATGTTGTGAGATTTGAAATTGAAAGGGTATAACTAGGTTGTACATTAAGTTAGATATGTCTGATTGCAGAGGAAACATTCAAGACCCCTTGTGAGTGATGTTGAAAGCTTCAACTGTATATACTGTTTGTAAAATTGTCAAATAAGTTAGTGTCTGCAGTAGAAGTGACAAATCCCTGATCTCGTTCTTAGGGATGCCCTGAGTGCCAAATAGCTACTGAAGTTAGATCATTTTGATTCCCAATCATCAGAGAATCTGATGATTGTATTGAAATTATTGTCAGTTTTATATTTTAGAAAGTAATTAATATCCTGAAAAGAATGCCAGTCTTCTTACCTTCAAAATCTAACAGCAAACTCTCAGTAGGTCCTGTCTCTGTTTTGATGAGGTTGTAAGAAAGACACTGTCAGCTTGTGCATTTGACGTCCATTTCACTATGGCCTGGCAAGCTTAAGCAATTAGATTGTAACAACAGATGTAAGAAATTGATCTGACTCATGACACTGATTTTCATAGCCAAATGTACAGCAGCTGATTTAAATGAAGTGTATGTCAATGTGTGAATTGCCCTTTTGGCATGCCTGAGTTGCCAGTTAGCCTAGTACAGTATCTAAATGCCTGCACAAGGGAGAGAGACAATTTGTGACACTTCCCTCATCGTATCTCAGGTATGTAACAAGTGACTCACACCCGCCATATTAAGTCAATTTAACTCAGTCAAATATCAGAGTTCATGTTTTAACAGTGAAATTTTCATGTGCCAAGTAAGAATTAACGTAACTTAAACATCGTCTGTGTCGATGACCTTTGCCAGACGTATGTTTGTGTGTAATTGAATTTAGACCTTTAAAACTTTGTGACTCTTCCCTCATCGTATCTCATACACAGTGTGTTCTAGCTGAATACCCGCAGCTACCGGCAGCTGGGAGCTACACCCGGGAATATGAGCTCTATAGCCATGCATCAGTCCAACCGACGCTAATAGCGTGCTTCATTTGTTGTGGTAAACACCAGTGAATAACCCTGGTGTACTAATCTCGATTATATGTGCAAAGTAGTGTTCTTGAACATGATTGCAGATAATTAGCAAAAAAATAATTGTCCCAGTTGAGTACTGAAACCATAAATATTGATATTACCAGTATTAAAGTTTGTTAAATGTTTGTGAGTAAACCATCGATGTGTACTCCCAACTGAGATCTGATATATGTTCCATGTTGTTCATTCAGCAATAACATGTTATAATTAATGTACTACTATCTGTGCTATTAGCGAGTGTGTAAAATGACCATCTTTATTGTCAAAGAAATAATATAATACCAATTAGGATTTGTTATTTCTAAAGTAAGACCTATTGGCCCATTCTTGTCTAAGTGTGTTTAAATTGTCATCTTATTCACTTTTGATGTTAATAAATATTTAATTAGTAAATTGTGGGTATCACTGCTACTTCCCTTCTACCAACTGCTTCCCAGAAAATAAACACTAACCCATGTGCCTAAGCTTGTGTCTACCACACTACCTAATACCATATGATAGCAGTTATATTCTAATAAAAGCCTGGGTGGTGGCAGCCAACCTTTGTAAGTATAATAATTGTATCAAGAGGTGTTGTTAAAGAATGATATGGTTTTGCCAGGATAATCCACTGAATAGAATAAAACTAAGTACACCTCCTCCCCGACTTACGGCGGGGTTAGGGACCCAAATCCAGGTCGTAAGTCGAAATGGTCTTAAGTAGCAAATGCTTAAATAATACATAGAAAACTTAAAATTGGTGTCTCTTTTTCTTCTCAGCACCACAAAGCTCTCACTTTTAAGCTTGCCAGCCATTTTAAACTGAATTTCAAACAAAAAATTTGTCTGTACTGACGTTGGGACTCGAAAATACGTAATTTGACAAAATTTTGGTACGGCTGAGGCAGGTCATAAGTGCGGGCGGTCGTGTCGAGTCGGTCGTAAGTCGGGGAGGAGCTGTACTGATAAATACAGAAAGGAGTAGGTGGAAAGATAAAAACAAATACTGACAGAAAAAAATGAACACTAAGAAAAGTAAAATACATTTATAGAAAATAAAGTATTAAGCATACTGAAATAAAGACTTAGAAAAATATAGAAAATACAAAAATATAACTGAGAAATTAAAGGTTATAAGAAGCAGAAAAGACATAGAAATCATAAACAACGAAAACATATGTAGTACTAAAGTATGAATGGTACAAACAAAATATTTAGTTTTCTTTCCCGTGTAATATTCACTCATTTGGTTTGTTTTATTCTTAGTTTAGGGAGAGTAAAAACTTCTGTTTTTGTTGCTGGAAGGCCTCTCTACTCTTCCTTGACTTTTGAGCCATTTCCTCTCACACAATTTTCTTTCATTCTAACTTTTTCTTTAAAAAAAATTTAATCTTATTTTCTTCCTACAGCAACCTTTTCTGCTTTAACATGCTTCTATACCTACTACTGGAGAGTTTTGTGCCTACACATCAGAGGGTCCTCCTGGGGAACACACACATCCACCGGAGGGTCAACACCTATCAGGCGCTGCTCCCGCTGAGCACCTGCCCCCCTCGGCCAATGTTCGACCCATTCCCCAAGTCCCTCTCCCCGACCGATCCTCACCACCGGGATATCTACATAATCAAAAGTGACAATTTCGTTTCGGAAAAATGAGGGACCAATGACGAACAGTGTTTAAGCCAGTGAATTCAGCACTAGACAGTACCAGTGAGAGCCGTGACCCACCACGGAGATAAGCGCCCCTGGGAACTGACCACTATCTTCTGACCAGGAGGTGCTAATCCGTCCACCATGGGAACAACAAAGGGCCGGCCGGCTATGCACCTGACTACGAGATAACACATTATCACCCAGCAGAGTGAGGTACTGTGACACCACGCCACACCACAAGGTGTCCCCTATGACCTCGTGAGGTCCTTCATATCAACACCCGAGGACGAGTCACCGCACCACGTGAACACCACACCACCAGAAGTCCCCATGACCACGTGAAGTCCTTCATATCAACACCCGAGAACGAGTTACCACACCACGTGAACACCACACCACCCGATGTCTCCATGACCAGCCAAGGCCATCAACTGTAAACTATAATAATTTGTATGTTCAATCATTGTTCCTTCTTCTTTCACTCGTGAAAGCTTTAGTTAAACAACCCACCCACCCCATGTCTTTGCATGTAATAAGTAATTTTTGTCCAATGTATATTTTCAGCCTTCGGGCTGCCGAACTTTTTCAATAAACCGTTAATTATTATTATTATTATTATTATTACACATGCCCTACAACACTGACCTCCTGGTGGACACACCCACATGCCCTACAAACCTGACCTGACCTGGGAGCACACACACATGCCCTACAGCCCAGACCTCCTGGTGGACACACACACATGCCCTACAGCCCAGACCTCCTGGTGAACACACATACATGCCCTACAGCCCAGACCTCCTGGTGGACACACACACATGCCCTACAGCCCAGACTTCCTGGTGGATGGACACACACACACACATGCCCTTCAGCCCTGACCTCCTGGGAGCACACACACACATGCCCTACAGCCCTGACCACATGGGGTACACCAACATGCCCTTACTGAGTCATC